AAATAAATAAGTAATAAAAAATAAATCAGAAAAATTTTGATCCTGAAAATTGTCAATTACCAATGAATTTGGGATCTATTGTCTTCTGCACGAAGGTCGCCCCCTCCGGATAACAGCTGGAAGATCCCTGAACTTAAACACTGGGCTAAAATTGATGCCTAAGAAAAATATAGATGATGTTTCTGATCTGGAGGAAGGAGAAGAGAGGACAATACGCTTGTCAACCTGGGTGGGAGGTGGTGTGTGTGGTCCAGAGGGTCATCTCATGGTGACATTAGGAAAGAGTGGGGTGCCAGGGTGTGCAACAAGAGTCCCAGGCCTGGCCCAGGCCCAGCAAGGGCTGGTGGTAACTGCACTGGCTGCACAAGCTGCTTTAGGAGTGGGCACTGGTGTGGCAATACTGGGGGAAAGTCAGTGGAGAACAATAAGCTAATTTAACAAGGTTGCAGGATGGATTCATAAATCAATGGCACAGCACAGAGAGGCCAGAAATGGGGTCTCACACATTTGCTCATTGATTTTTTGTTTTGTTTTGTTTTGACAAATGTTTCAAGGTAATTCAATGGGAACAAGATACTATTTTTCAAAGAACGCTGCTAGAACAACTGACTACATTTGTTAAAAATGAACACTGAGCTTTACCAAACACCACACTGTAAACATTCATCTGAAATGTATCATGTACCTATATGTAGAAGCTAAAAGAATATAAGTCCTGAAAGAAAACATGAGAAAATCTGAGCAACCAAGGGGGAAGGGAGATGTGTTGGTTCAGAGCAAATAAGAAATGTAAAGGGGGTGAATGATAAATCCGATTTCATCAAAATTGAAAAATTTAAGCCTTGCAGAGATAAAGAAAACATAAAGAAAACAAAAACATAAAAAAACATAAAGAAAACAAAAAAGTAAAAAACCCTAGCCTGGGAGAAATATTGATATAAAAAGAAGGGATGGGCTGGGGATGTAGCTCAGTTGGTAGAGTGCTTGCCTCGCATGCATGAGGCCCTGGGTTTGAATCCTGGGCACCAAATATGCGTGTGTGTGTGTGTGTGTGTGTGTATAAATATATATTGATGTGACATATATGCAATACACATATGAAATAGGGACTTGGGTCTAGGGTGTAAGTCCTATAGACCATAATAGATAGTATCATGAGATTCTCATAATAGATAATATTATGGATAGTATCCATGAGATTCAACCTGGGGGACAAATCAGGCAGACTCCAGCTCCCCACAAAACCACCAAGGAAAAGTCAACCAAGAAGCCATTCTGCATTTTTGGCTTGAGACTGAGATTGAGGAGAATGCATAGGATATGATTGGTTAGCTTTGCCTTTACTATAGGGCGAAAGGAAAATTCAATGAACCTTAAAATAGGAAACACCTCGATTGGACTGATTTTAAAAAAATCATTAGCACATTATATTTACACATTACATTGGGGCTCATTTTGACATGATTATGTAAGCATGGAATATAAATTGCTCCAATTTAGCCCCCAGTATTAATTTTAATTCTCAGGAAGAACAAGATAACGTGACCTCTTGCCAGTTATGTCCTTAATAACTAGATTCAGGAGGGTTGACGAATGCAAGTCTACTGGACAGAGCTGGGCAGACGTCCGAGGGAGTGACTGAGGGCAAGGAAGCGCCAGGACCAGGCAGACCCTGGAGGAAGTCTCCATCCACATGCCATGGCCCTGCAGCAAGAAACCGCCCCCAAGGTCTTTAACACAAGCCTCTGACTCCTCTAATCCATCTCCCTTCTTCACACACACACACACACACACACACACACACACACACACACACACAGAATTCAGGGGATTCAAACCCAAGGCCTTATGCATGCGAGGCAAGCACTCTACCAACTGAGCTATATCCCCAGCCCATCCCTTCTTATTATATGTCCGGGCAATACATCGTCTTCTCTTTCTGAACCCCTGTCCAGGGACAAAATACCAGTCCTCTAGACGGGGATTATTGATYAACCACACTGATTTAGGGCATAGGTAGGTAGTGCTTGCCTCTTAATGGAACATCCTACATAATGAAATRTAAAAGATCTTTTCTTTGGTTTCCGTTATCAAACCTAATTACAAGGCTATTTCAGGGGGAAAAAATCTTGATATCCAATTATAAGAACAGTWGTATCATCATGAAGAATTGAACAGAGGATGAAGATGAGGGCGCTGCTGCAGTAAGCATCGTGGCCACAGGAGGGCGCACAAAGCCCTAGATTTTGTGAACAAAGGCCSGAGTTGACTTGGAGTCCACAAACCTTGGCTCGGCATGAGCCCCGGCTAAGCTTCCAGAACTAAGGGTCTCCCACCCGCCTTCATTCTGGAGTCCTCTCCATTGCTCAGGAACACTGAACTGGTCACTGCYTTGCCCCCCTGATGCAAGAAAAGATACGGTAGAAAGCTTTTGAGGGCGGGGAAAGATGAGGAGTCCCTGCAGCTCAGCGGAACAAGGGGAAGCCCTCCCTGCGCGCCGAGGGCACAGCGGCCCCTGGCGGCGAACCTGGGGCATTMCCCTGTCCCTGGCTAAGTGGCTCCCATCCCCATGGAAAGGGTCCATGGAACAGAGCTGCCTACAGGGAAGTTAGTCCGTAAATTCTCTGACGACTTATGGGGATGGCTCATAATAAGATTTTTAGGAACGAAGGGGATCAACAATCRAGGAAGAAAGATTAGTCGTCAGTAGTAAGATGCATGCGTTAGAATTCCCCGCTTGGAAATCAAGAGGAGGGCAAAGCGCACCAGGCGCCCTACAGAAAGAGTCACCTGTCCTTTGGGCTGAAGTCTGTCCTAAGAGCAGACTGCTGTACTTTGGAAAGATGCCTCCAGGWTTGTGTTTTATTATACTGTTGATTGTGTACCTTAAAAATAATAATAAAGGGRAAAAAAGCAAAACCCATCTGGAGTTCCAGCAGGTGGGTCTGCAGGAGAAGGCGAGCAAGCCCCAGCGAGGGACTGCGCTCTCTCCGGAGGGGGTCAAGCTGGCTGAAGGATGGCGTTGCCTCCTGAGAAACGCGCAGATAGGCAGTTGTGTCAATGCACAAGCTTCACAGTGTACTTAGAACTAGCGCAGCTGTGCTCTCACCCGGCAGATGAGCTTAGGGGCCCAGGTCACGTGTGCAGCTCATCTTTGATGGAAATGTCATCGTGCAGCCTGGYCAGATCTGAAGCGTGAAGCATGTTTCTTCTGACTGCCTAGTTCCAATGTAATTGATTAGTACTGAGTTTTCATGCTCGTGTCTCCCTCTCAGCTTCTCTTCACCTGTCCTTGAACCTTATTACCTACCGTTTGCCCTGATTTCTCATTGCTTTTTGTCCATGGTCCTTACTAACTTGGGATAAAGGTCTCCACTCCCCTTCGTATCTTCTTCCCTCCCTCCCAGAGCAGGGGGACTCTTTCTTCCTGTGTGCTTATCTTTTCTTGCCCTTTTATCCTGTGCCTCTGAACATAGCAAAATCCAGATCAATATGATTTCAAATTGCAAAATTCTGCCCATTTAGGTGATGGTGGGATTGAGGTAAAGCTGAAAAGCTGTAACTCTTCAGTGCTTTGATATTTTTATAATCAATGTTCAAAATGAAGAATCATTTTTGAGTCATCTGGAATAGAGCAGTATTGGCCTAGAAAAAAAGTCTTTTCTGCTTAATCAGTAGAAAGGAGAAAATTTCTTTTCTGCCTCCCCTTTTATTTCCAGTTGCTTGAATTTGCTTCTTCTTCCAGATCATGTCTCAGCTCTCAGCATCTGTCTTACAGTTTGTTGACTAAGCATGTGGTCCCAAATAAGAGAGGGGGAAAAAAATAGTTTCAAGGTTTCCCCAAAACATGAAAATGAGGCTCTTTGGGGGAGAAAATAATCAGACTGCAACTCCCTTATGAATTGCAGATATAAACCAGGCAGGCAGAGGAGATGTAGAGCAGRTTCCTAGGAGTACTGGTGGCCACAGCTCAGGAAGCAGGTGCACAGGACACATGCTGTGCTCATCTGGGCCTAGTCAAGCTGACCTTTAAGGTAGTTTAGAGGGTCCAGAATTTATTTCCCAGAGTGAAAATGGGAAAAAGAGAAGGAAAGTCATCATGGCATCCTGGAATATCAGGAGAAGAGGTTTCAAGTGGGAAGAGGGGATCAAAGAGTCCACAGCCGTAAAAAGTAAGAGGGAGGTCAGAAAAAGCAAGCAACCCTGGCAGAGAGAAGGCTGTGGAGGAGACTCAACACTGCACCAAGGTCAGAGTCACATTCTCAAGGAGCTAAGAAAGGACGATCCAGTAGGGAATGTAGGGGAGTGAAAAGAGCTGTCTCCTCCACCTTCCAGGAGTTCCTGACCAGGGCTCCTTGTAACAAGCGGCAGACTAACAGGAGAAAAACAAGCACACGTTCTAGAACATGTGTGGCTCCTGTGCACCCAGGCAGCAACTCAGAAACGAGCTGTCTTCAAAGGGGCCTGAACAGACGTCCCTGCTGCCTGCCCAACTCCTCTCCTTCCCACTGGTTGTCTGTGCAGARGGTTCTTCTCAGCAGGTTTCTAGGAGGGGAAGGGAGGAAGAGAGAGGCCAGGGGAACCAACCAGGGACAACTGAAAGCAGAAGAGCAGCTGGGGAGGATTTGTGGTGAGGGTTTTAGGAACAGGATGGGGAGGAGTGACTGCAGAGAGTGCTGAGAAGGAAGATGCAGACAGCTGAAGGCAGTAAAGAGAGGGACCTCTCCAGTGGAGTCATCCTGAAGGCAGTCAGGCAGGAAATGAGCAGGAAAACACGGGTGAAGGAGTCTACACTAAAATAAAGAAAGACTCATCCTCCTAGAGGCGGCCCTAGGGAAAGAGCAGATGCTCAGCTGTCAGGGAGCCTTGGTYCTGGCAGAAATGAGGACTCAGTGATGGCCTGATGCCAGCAAAGGAAGACGGTGGACCTGGGAGAGCTTTGGTGCATCTCTGTAAGAAGAGCAGTCAGTATGTGAGAAGAGAGGCAGGGGGTGACTCACCAGCCCAAGTGGGGAGCACTTCAGAAGCCCAACAGGAGACTGGTTAAGGAAACTCTGAAGAGCACTGGCAACCCTTGCTGAATTCAGCTGATTGGGCGGCTGGGCGGCCAGACAGGGCCGTGTGCCCACCTGAGCAACAGAGGTGGTGCCCTTAAGGTCAGGGGCAGGCCGGGAAGGCAGGGATTCCAGGTGGGTGACACCACTGAGACAGGGCAAAGGTCCAGACAGCGAGACAAAGGTCAGTAAAAAGGAACATGTCACATCTCAAGAATGGACAGAAGTGGGGGAGCATAGAAATTGAGGCAGAAGCCACCATAGAAAGAAAGCTCCAGTTTGATAATATTGGAACCCATTTCTAATTGACAGCACTCAAGGCTTTCAAAGATTGCTGAAAAGGGATGAGGTCAAATCCATCTCACTGGTCTTCCAGAAGGTCTGAAATGTATGAGGCTTACAAYGTCTTAGGGGTTGTTTGTGTTGATTTTCAGATAGAACATCTTGGCCTGTAACAGAAGTAACATATTTGGCCTCTTCCCCCTTTGCTGGAAAAATAGCTTCTAAAACCCTTGAAATCTCCAAAATGGTAAACACTGTTCTATGCGCTAATGAGGTGACTGTGGTGGGAGCCTCAGGAGAGCCACCAGAGGGCAGCTGGTTGCCATGGGAAACAACCCTGTGATTGGAGGGTGGCGCTTTCAGCACCGCCCTCCAGGGTGTGAGAGGAGCTGAAGACTGATCACCAGTGGCCAAAGGTGCAGTCAATCATGCCTCCTGTCAAAGTCTCAATGAAAACCAGAAAGGACAGCATTTGTGGGATTTCCAGTTCCTGAAAGACTCTGGGCCTGGAGAGGAAGTGGGAGTTCTGCACCCTTCCCCARAGCTCACCCTAAGCATCGCTTCCATCTAGCTGCTCAGCTGTATCCCTTGTAATGTCCTCTGAAATAAACCAGTAAATGTGTCTCCTTGTTTCCGTGAGCATCTCTAGCAATTAACTGAGCCCATGGAAGGGGTGGCGAGAACCTTGATATTTGCTGATTGAGCCTAAGTCCGGTCACAGCCTGGGCCTCCCACCATATTCTTACCTCTGTAGATAAGGGCAACATGCTAATCTGAGCTCCCCCACAGTTCTCTCCTCTCACAGACAACTCTCTGTTTCTCCCAACCCCTTTCCTTATTATCTCCTATTATTTTTCCCTCATTTCTCAGGGTTAACTGGCATTCAACAGACCGCTACAGCAAAATGGTACCACACTGAGACATGGAGTCTGTCCTGGGCCTGGCTTGGCTTATTCATTAACGAAGCACGTGCCTTTCACAGTAGCCCTCTTATGGATTGCAAAGAATTCTTCCATAGGAGTGTCAATTATTTCATTTTCATGAATCTTAACATTTGTTTGCAAATTGTCAAAATTACAAGTGTTAACTTTGTTGGTGTGATCACGGTTGTTACTGTGCTTTATTCTCGCTGTTGGGTACCGACTCCAGATGATTTCCTTCCTAAAGCAAATATAGATTTTTTCCCCCCGCAGGCAAATGCATCACACAATCTGTTCTCTCATCTTTATTTTTTTTATAATTTTCTCCACTCTAAGTAAACCTCAATAATCACGTTTCTGATTTATTTTTTTACATAGAGTACTTTAGAGTTTAAAAGAGTTATCAATGTGTACAGAGGTTAAAATTACCTGTTACCTTTGCTTCCTTCTATTATTATCCTGGAAATATTTCATGTGCAGATATTTCATGTTTTCTTCAAATAAAAATTCTGGTGGAGGAAAAAAATACTCTTTGCCTTTCTTGTCTGTGATATGCTCGGTATGCAGTATAGATCCAAAAGCTTCCATCAAGAACACATCTATTCTAGAATGGAATGTCTAATTGAAAAATGTGCTTTTCAGTTACCAAAGAAAGGTATATTGCTTTATCCTTGTGTGAACTCAGTTTTCTTCTAATAAATTATACTTTCAATGTCACGTGTATACTATGAGTACTGTTCATTTTAACAATAAGCTTCTAGTGTCAGGCAATTTGAGCAAGGAGCAAGTTTAGGCAATTTCAACATTACCTTTAGAAAGCAAATCACTGAGCACTATCCCTTGACACCCCTGCTCTGAGTTCATGGGCACTTTCCAGCGTCACCCTGGCTTCCCTTGGGATTTAGGACACGTTGTAAGTCTGAAAAAAATAAAGTTCTTTCTGGGTGTTTTAGTGTGTGGAGTCATCCATCTCTAGCGATAATCCCATCTGAATGGAATGAATGAAATGAAACCTTCCTTCTACCCTCCATTGACATGTAAGCAAGGGTCCTCTCCAATTAAACTTTGAATTTGATGGTGAAAGAGATGCATGAAGGATTACACCTCACTAAAATAAGAAATGTTCATATTTAATTAATCTTCCCATGAAGTAGCAAAACATCACACTAACAAGAGTAYAGCAGGGTGCACCCTGAGCAGTGACAAGACCCCTGAGCTCTCCTCCGTTCTCTGCTACGAGAGCCTGCACGCCCCCCCTCCCAGGTGGTGTGACTTTTTCATGCGTCAAGGACAAGTAAGGTTAAGGTCAAGTCACTTGTAATTTTACAATTTTGGATTGACTCTGAATAATTCAATAGTACATTCTGAAGTACCTTGGTMAAAGGATAATTTCTTTTTGTTCTCCAAAGAGCCAAGCCAAGCCACAGCTTCATGGTCCTTGGAAATGCATTGAAGATTAGGTCTAAGTAGATAGGAAACTTCTCCAAGTACATCCGTTTATCTGATGACTGGATGGGTAAACATACAAAGTAGAATCACAAAAGAAGAACAAATCCCCTGGAGACTGATCCCAGGACCTCCAGGGACACCCAAATCCAYGGGTGCTCAAAGTTCCTTATGTAAAATGGCACAGTATTTGCATCTAGCCAGCACACATTCTCCCATAAACTTTCAATGACCTCTAGATGACTTTCATGCCTCATGCAATATAGATGCTATGTCAGTAGGTCTATTTGTTCTGTATAGCTTAGGGAATAACAACAAGAACAACCAGTCTATATGCTCAGCATAGGTGCAACTATTTTTTCCAAATATTTTTCATCACTGGTTGATTGACTCTACAAATGCGGAACCCAGAATATGGAAGCTGCATGTACATCTAGGTACAAAGGTGAAAATATATAAGACTCCTGGTAAGAGTTCTTGATTCTTGTCTTGGCAAAGCAACCTCTCAATGAAGTAGACTCTTTGATTCAGGATCTGATTAAAAGAAAAAAAAGTTTCAAAGCCATAGTTATTGTAAATTATAAAATATTATGTAACAACTAAAATCAGAAAGTTGTAGTAAATAAAACTGAATACTCTGCTGAGGTATAATACCATTTGCTCCAATTGACAGTTGAGAAAACAAATTAAATAGCTTATAATCTCAAGTTAGTATTTAGTAGAATTAAAGCAGGCCAACCTGTCRTTCCAAACCACTGAAGAGTTGGGTGGATTTTCTTTTCTTTCTTTTTTCCTTCCTGTCCTCCTCTCCCTCCATCCTCTCCCTTCTCCTCCCCCTTCTGTCACTCCTCCTCCTTCTCCTCCTCCTCYTCCTTCCTTTTTGATATGCTATGCTACTGGTCCAGGCACAATTTTCAGAATTCCCTGGAGAGCAGACCAACTAGAGTTCACAGGGTAATATGCAAAGGTACTTGGTGAATAAAGGAAGGACCGTCTTTGTCTTTTGACCTCACTGGTTCTTTCCTGAGGAAGTGGTAGTCAATGGCACTTGAGTCAATTGCTTCCTGTATGCAGTTGAAGTTTTAAAAGAAATTATGGAAAGGGGGTAAATAAATAATATAACTCTTGCCATCTGATGTGTTTTGAGTCTTTCCTCTTTAAGATCTTTATTATTCTTGCTTCCTTTTTTTTTGTATTCAGAGATATTTTACACTGAAGCAAAAACCAAGTAACAAATTCCAAGCAATGGGATTCTATAAACACAAAAATGAATATCTGGATTTTGGCTCATTGAGACACTTTAAAAGGCATGAAATTGCCAAGTCTTGCATCATGTTCTCAAATGCTATTGACTTTCTGCCTACCTTGCAAATTACAACTATGAACTCTGAACCAAGAATAAAATGTGCTCATCCATCAAGTCTTTAAAAAAAATACCCTTTTCTTTTCCTCATCTTAGCTTTTATCAAACTCATCATCATCTATCAGAAAATTCTAGTTTCTGCTGTAGACCTCAGCAGTCCTAATTTCACAGATGTTGAAGTGGTCCCTTTTGTGATTTCGTTTGTGCCCACCCATACAGCCTTACATATTAATGTTTATAACACCTTTTCTTCTCTCCCAAACTGAGCCATTTAAAAAACTATAAAATAAGTTGTGTTTTAGTGTATTATAGCACTTAATGGAGCAAATTCCTCAAGCCCAAGATAAAAGTGAGAAAATATGTAGTAACAACCGAGGAGAAGGCCTCACRTGTTAGGGTTGGGAGCCTCTTCTCCACACTCAGGTCCAAGTTTCAGTTGGCAAGTGCTGGCCTCGCAGCAGCGATCCTTGCATTCCTTCAAAGTACACACAAGACCAGGAGAGTCGGGTCAGTGTGTTGTTCCCACAGAACAAGTGCAGAGGATTTAGGTACAAGATGGCAATGAAATCAAATTTCACCATTTAAACTAAACTGTTCTGTTACACCAACCCCAGTGGAAATGACCATGGGAAAATAAAGATAGGGGAAAAAATATCATAAATAATGAAAACTATCTCTTCAATAACCAAAAAAAAAATGATCTAAGCATTTCCTTAATGAGTTTGGTCCATGTGCTATTACATGTACATTAATTAAAATATTCTACACTACTCAAATCATTTGAAATTAGAGAGAAAAACTGAAACCTGAATTCATTTTACCAAGCCCACAAAATTCTGGCAATGAGACTGACTGATTGGGATCACAGATACTATTCTCATAGATGAATACAAATGCAAAAACTATAAAGTGATGTCAGTAAAATCCCAGCTTATTCAGGTAACAACTCTTCATTACAACTGTGAATTTTCTCCACCCAAAGTGCAAGGACAGCTTGTCTGTACAGAAAGGGCAATGGAATCCATCCTGTTAAGAGACTGAGTGGAGGAAACCACATTGCTATGGTGGTCGACGGCAGTTAGTCGACGGCAGCCATTGCTGAATCTCCGAACAGTTACCTATCACCTATGAAAAGTACAGCTGGCACAATGCATGGTCACCATATGGAAAATCTAGGTGACAACTTGTAAAAGGACAGCTGATAAAATGAAGGACAAGACAAGCGTGACTTACATTCTGTGTTTTTATGGAAATTCTAAAAAATAGCACAAGAAAGGTAAAAAAAAAAATGAAGGAATAAGAATTGACAAGAACAAATCATATTTCCATTGTTTGTTTGGGTACAATTCTCTACCCAGAAGAAAACAGAGGATTGATTTAAAAATATTTGATGAGTCATTAAGATGGCATCAAAATTAATAATGAAGGAGAACCTAAATAAAGAGAAAACATTGCACATCCAGCAAAAGAGAAAAAATAGTTTAGAATAAACTTTCAAACTGTGTAAGCACCACATGAAGAAGATGTTTCCTGAGAAACTTTGAAGCCAGCTCTTCTTTCAAAGACAATATTTAATATTATGGAAATATCAGTGACCTTGAGAGCAAAGCAAGGACTTTACATGAATATGTCTATAAAGGTCATAAACAACATCTTAGAGTTAGCAATTTACTACCTAACACTTTTTATTTATTTTTTTTTAATTGTTGGTTGTTCAAAACATTACATAGTACTTGATATATCATATTTCACACTTTGATTCAAGTGGGTTATGAACTCTCATTTTTACCCATATACAGATTGCAGAATCACATCAGTTACACTTCCATTGATTTACATATTGACATACTCAAGTCTGTTGTATTCTGCTGCCTTTCCTATCCTCTACTATCCCCCCYCCCCYCCCCYCCCCYCCCCYYTTCTCTCTCTACCCCCWCTACTGTAATTCATTCCTCCCCCTTGTATTATTTTTCCCTTTCCCCTCACTTCCTCTTGTATGTAATTTTGTATAACCCTGTGGGTCTCTTAACTTCACACAATAATGTCATTATGTTATCATGGGATTTGAAATGCTTTTGGAAAGAAAACTAAAATTAATAGCAAAACAAAGCGCAAATCTACTTTTTACTCTGATATCAAGTTTATCTTTAGAATCTCTAAAAAAACATTAAAAAAGAAAAAAATAAAAGCTGCGTAATTGAATTACCCTGCTAGGTCTCTAAAAGTTGTTTTGGATCTCGTAGAGTTTCGTACCTTAGGAGAGCCACAGTCACAGTCTTCTCCCACCTCCAGAAGTTGGTTCCCACACACAGGTTCTGTTATTATATTTGCAGGTAGAGGTGCTTGCATTATGCACTTTGGTTTTTTAGATGAAAGGTATTTTTGAAAATATGAGAGGCAGGATGAACTGAAATCCTTTGGGAATTTTGAACTGCAACCAGAAAAAATACTCAGAAGTAGCACGATATAGAGTGCAGTGGCTTTTCATGTTAAGTGATTATGAAAATCTAACATATCTAACTCTATCATCTGGCTAGATGGCAATTGCAAGTTTAGTAACTGCTAAGGACTACATGATACTATATCTGGTGGRTAGTGGAGCTAACTGAAATTTTTTTCTATAGACTCAGATGTAGAGGTGAAAGAATTTAATTTCTCATGTGGAATCAACACTTTTCTAAAGGAAAACAGCAATGAAAATCTCCTTTGGTTACCATCCACTCATCTCACACTGAGGAATGTGTGTAAGAGACAATAACAATGGCCCAGTGAAGGGGAAATAACTGCAGATTTTAAGATTCTGTGGACATATTTCTCCTTATTTGTGAACATCTCAAGAACAAGGCATGATTTATTCATTTTTTTATCCCAAGTCCTTGCAAAGTGATTGACATTAATAAGTAATTCATAAATGTATAGAAGTGGATTGATTAATCGATGGGTCAGGCTATATGAAGATACAGTTATCATCTTAGGCTAATGTTTTCAGAAGTTATGCTGTCACTTTAAGTTAAAGTAATTTTAAGTTAAGACACAGTCACTTTAATTATAAACTCTTTGTGTATTTAAAAATCTTACGGAATGGTATGTGATATTGTGCCTAAAGAGTCTGGGGTTTGAATTAACAGGATGTAGAGCCTTTGGGCAAAAAAATACCGATCCAATAAATGCAGRATGCATCCTGAATAATTTAAGATTGAGGGGGAAAAAATTAGAGTGACACGGTCTTACCTCAGATATTGACCCATCACACAGCTTCCCGAGGGGCACTTGACGGTGTATGAAAGATCAGGCATCCCGAGAACATGGCCCAACTCATGTGACATCACACCTACAAGAGCCACACTATTCTTCCTTTTAGCCTGAAAAAGAAAGAAAGAAAGAAAGAAAGATCATCTGTTACTTTCTATTTTAATTAGTTATTTCTCAGTTGTTGTCAATATTCATCACTTAAAAAGAATAGCCTGAGGCTGAATGAACCTGGGAAATGGTTGGATCCTATGAATCTGGTCGGAGTCAGTACTCGATAAGTGCTTGTTGAACTAACAGACACTAAGTTCTTAGTAATCAATTATTAAAGTAATTACATTGTCCACAGAAAGTCCTAAGAAGTATCCTAATGAGGACTCAAAGTCCTATAACAACTGTCACCTTGCTGATACCTTAGGACCCCTGCATGCTCCTTTGCTCCCTGGATGTYCTCTTTTGGTCACAGATACTAAAAGACTAATTTAGAGTAGTCTCAGGCCACAGAGTGCACCTGGCTCCCATCTCCGTCTCAGCATTTCTGCTGCATTCCTTAATACCAACCCGAGTGTGGGCTGATGTTTCACCGTCCAGGGAATCGGCAGCACAATGATCTGCCRGTGGTTTCCTGTCCACATTTATTGATTGGTTCAGCAAATGTTCACTATGCCCACTCCGAGCAAAGCATTCTACACGTCTTCCCAGAGATGCAGAACCACAGGCAACCTTAGTGTAAGTTCACAAACCTCAATGACAGCGACCGAAGACGCMGAGCACAGGGAATTGGAGGCGGCCATTCCCACGCGGCCATTATTGAAGCCAATCCCACTGTGTGAAAGGCACAGAAACACTGTCACAGCCTGTCTTTGGAACCACTAGCTCTTCCCACTGCTGTTCTAGATTTCCCTGGCTGCCTAGCCTTTTCTTGGGCCTCAGCGCAGCCTGTACTATCCCACAGCAGTATCATGGCCACTTTGATCATCTCCCATCCTAGAGCCCACCACATAGATTGCACCGGGGCCTCYGAAATCCTTCAGGTGAATTGCTAATGGCAGGACATCAGGGCTTCTCAGGACTGATCAGGGAAATCTGACTGAGCACACGTCTCTGCCAAGGCTCTCACTCTGCCCACGTGCACCTGCCCTGGCCAGAACGTGCCCACCTGAGGAGCTGCGCATGGTCGTGGATCTTCTTCTTGCCCAGGTTAGAACGATGCCAACTCATGAAGTTCTTGAAGGTTTGGCCAATGTTGGGGACCACCTTTATCWTATCACTCTCTGACCAGATCTCCATACCCACCAAGGCCACACGAACATGGAGAGTTTTATAAATCTGTGGACACAACGGTTCAGATTCCTTTAGGGTTTTAGAACTTTTGCTGACCACAAATGATGGATAAATAGATGCACCATAATTGGSGAGTTTCCACTTTAAAAAGAGAAACACCAGAGGTGGCCTTTGCTGTAGTGTGTGTGATTTTACCTTGAGGTTGGTGTTTGCTTTGCTAAAATGTCCCCAGAACTGCTGCCTGTAAAGCATGGTGACTCTCTTGACTGCTTATATGAAGTGGCAGGAGCCCCAGGCCCACGTGGGGAAGCACAGGGTCACACGCCAGATGTCTTACCACATTGAGGAGGTTCATCACATCGAACAAAAAGCTTCTCATCACAGTTAGATTCCCCTGGTACATCTTATACTGCAAAATGCAAAGCACAGAGTACAATTAAAAAGGAAATTAAAGTGAAGTGGCTGAATGGGTACAGGATCTCACATTTATAAGAAAAAAATTACCTATTTTAACATAATTGACATTTATTCATATCATGGCTACTTATGACTGTTTTGTGAAAGGCTATTTCAACAAATTCTATCTTAAATGTAAGAGTGTGGGGGTCAAAAAATGTCATGGTTGTTCATTTCTAAGTAGATATGTCAAATTAATAATTTAGAATATTTTGAAATCAATTCACTATCAATTAATATTTGAACATGAAGCCATATTTACTAGGTAAAAATGTAGATACCAGTATTTTTCTCTGTATATATAATTAACACTTTAAGTTATGTATAGTTTTGCAACTAATTTATATTTGTAGGCTATATTAAACATATTTATATTTTACACTAAAAGGTTAAAGTCATTTMATCTTTAACCTATATATTATGTTATTTTTATTTTGTGGTTGATTGCCAATAGCTCCCTGGTATTAAGRATCCATGGTGTCTGGTGGGTATTAAAAGGGAAGGTGATTAAAACCTATTGCTTGCAAAGTAGGTAGAGAAGCCAAGAAAAACAGGCACACAACAGGCACTGTTAGCAGAAATGCATGGCTTTTGCTTGATGGCTAAGCCTCCAGTGGAGCACGGTGTCCCGGAACCACAAACATCTCTTACTTACAAAGGCGTTATCCAGCACCAAGAAGAGATTGATGACTTTCTGGGCCTGAAGAATGTCTTCTTGCTTTACAGATAACAAAAGAACATTGTTAATTAGTATCTTTATCCTAAAGGATTCCAAAGCTTACATGACATTTTTTTAATCATGAAAATAAATGAAGGATAAGTAATCAATGACAACATGTCATACGTCACACATCACAGCTGAGATGATTGATATCGATGATGAAGCAGAAAACGACACTCACCTCTGGGTTTTTGAGGGATCTGAAAGTTCGAATATGGCCTTGTCTCCTGCCAACAGTTCTCGTGCCACAAGTGTGATTCGCTGTGTCTAGTTCTTCCTGGTCGTAGGTAAAAACAGCATGTTCTCCCCGGTCTGTGTTTTTCCCAGGTTTTATCAGGTATCGTTGGCCACGGTGTGTGAAGTGTCCTCTGTGAGGCACAGAGACTGTATTTCAGGATCTCCTCACACACAGCACACACACTGCTCAGAAAGGATGAATTCCTCTTCCCGTCCAATTCCACACATACAGTTATCGTCCACAGACATTTTAACTAACATTTGTTAATTTACATTGTAAGCAGTATTTGTCAATGTTTAAATAAAGCCTATGTTGGTTCACCCAGAAAATTCTGAAGAATTATTAAAATGAAGCAATCCCCCCAAATTTGGATCTTATACCACGAGCTCATGTATGTATTTTTCCATAGTTTGTTTATTCACTTAACAATTATTTCTTGGTARATCCTARGGATATAATGGGGAATGGATTAAARGAACATTTAGAAACCAAGAGCTCCAGAGGAGAGAAAGAAGGATTAGTAGACCAGCCAGAGTAACATATGGGATTATCAGTAGCTTAAAGAATTTCTCTTTCTGGTAAGACCATTAGTTCAGAAACAGAAAGTGAGTCCGTATTATGGAATATTATGAATCCAACAAAAATGCCATTGAAACTGTGTTTATGAAGGTATTTTATGATATGTGAGAACATGTTATTAAGTATGAACCATATTGGAAGAGCAATTATGTGTCTTATTTCATTATTCAATCATGTGTGAAAAGAATACTTCTCTAAGTGCATAAAAGACTACAGACATGAAAAAATGTTAGTAATAGTGATAGTTCAGAGGTAAAATTTTGTAGTGGCTACTGTTTTTTTATTTGTGCTTTTTGTTACTCTAAAGTTTCCTAGTTGGCAAGAATTACCAGTGTAAACAAAAATATACACACAAATGCTTTAAAAAATTAAGTTCAGTGTTTGCTTCAGCAGCACCTACACTAAAATTRGAACTATACAGAGAAGATTAGCATGGCCCCTGCTCAATGATGACATGCAAATTCATGAAGCATCCTATATTTTTAGGAAAGATGGTGGAACGAGAGATGGACATCATTACCCTAAGTACATGTAAGAAGACACGAACAGTGTGAAACTACTTTGTGTACAACCAAATTGTGGTTGAACAATTGTRCTGTATATGTGTAATATGAATTGTATTGCATTCTGCCATCATATATAACAAATTAGAAAAATAAATAATTTTTAAAAACCAAGTCCAGCAGWGATAATTGCAGGTTAGAATCTTAAAGAGAAGAAGACATGATGGCTTCAGAATGAGGTAGATGAACTTGGAACTGGACCCAGATATCACCAAGGTCTAGAGCATAGCTCTCTTGCTTCAACAGAGCTGGGCCTGACTTCTAAGACATCAGTTACRAAATGATTGTAAGGGTGATGCTTCATTCTCCACTTCAACCACATATATCCAGCAATTAGTGATGAAGGAAAAAAAATCAACAAAAATAGTAACAAGACATTATGCCCTGTGAGACTCAATTCTGTATAACAGAATGTTGCTTGATATTTAATATTTTTGGTGTGCTTCTCACCTCAACCCATCACAGGTACTGATGCTGGCAACAGAATCCTTTTCATTTAGGATGTGACCTTCATAGTAACAGTGTTTCTGGAGTGGAAAAAGACATATGCTTTAAATATAGGCATACACTCTGAAAGTACATGGTCTATAGTAGTGGGGAAAGCCRCCATCTTGAATATGTGCGGTAGTTCAAATAGCAGTTCCTAGAAACAAAAACAGTGAAAACATCAGGGATTTTCTAAATTTCTCCAAAACTGACACTGGAAACTCTCTATATTTGATGTTTGAGATGTTTTCCTGACATGAATTTGCACTAAAGCAAATCTGAGGTGCTTGCAGTTATATGGGTTCATGGGGAAAGTGAATGTTGTCTCTAAGTGGCCAGTCCCCTCGGTGAGGGAATTATGTTACTGCTGGTAGAACCTCAGGTCTTGGACCCTTAGGAATTGGGTTCCCTGTGTTGAGTCCCCAAAGACACTGTTCATCATATGTTAACAAAACCAGGCATCCAGTTTTCTAGACATTAGAATCTTCAAGAGGCTATGCTTCCATAGCTGAGATCCTCAAACTGACTGGTTAAATTCAGCAACTTTAATTGATCTATTAGTGGAATCCCTTCCAAAGAATTCAACTCCAGAATATTTGTCAACAATTACAAATTCATATGATTGATAGTTCACATCAGCAAAGTAGGGGGCCACTAACATGCAACGATTTTAGAAAGCTAATGACCAATCTATGGCTCAAAATAAATGGTCTTTTTGCACAATATGAAATTCCATGTATGTGTGTGTGTCCATCCTTGGGAAGAAACTCTTGTAATATTTTCTTATAGAAGACTTAGACAACGTACTACATTAACATATCATAGGCATTAATATTTGAGCATGGAGGATTCTTTTTGGATGTGTTTTTTTTTTTTTTTTTTTTTAGAGAGAGAAAGAGAGACATATGTATTGTATTTAAGGTACATGGAGAAAGGCTCTGAGAAACTCTCTCAGCTTATCAGTACTTCTGGAATGAACCTGTATGTTCTTCCTGCTCTTCTCTGATTCTCTGCACAGTTATTCTCTACATCTGAAGGTTAGGCCCTAGAATTGGTATAGGATGGTGCTCTAACCAGATGTAAATATATCAATTATATAATTGATATTCCATTACTCACCCTATGATAAATGAATATATCTTCAGGARGTAGTTAAACAGTGACACAATTTTTCAGTTACCTAAAGCATAGACTATTTCTATCCTATAGTCAAAATGATCTAGGGACAAGTGGACTTATGATGGCTCCTAAAAATACCACACAGAAATCCCCTATCACTCCTACCTTCTAAAAGCCGAAGRAGATTTTCTACCTGTTGTCTCACTAGTCACAGATAAGCACCTTGATTTTAGGTCATTTGATTTTTTTTAAAGTTATCCATGGACCTATGCATTTTTCCAAGCAAGGAGCAGATCCYAGGAAGCAGCAGACCTTACCATGGTCTGAGAGTGTCTGGTGATTTCCTCCCCGGCGGATGAGTAATATGTTTCGGTGTAGTCTGGMCCCAGGAGATGCCTGGAGGAAGCARAAACCTGCATGACACACTCAATGTGGCAACAAAGGTGACTCACCTGACATAACCGTCAACACTAAGGGAGTAACATGTCTATGATGAGGAATCATTGACGTTTGACCATTTGGTCCTTTCCCATCATTGGAACTCTGCCCCTGAAGCCAATCAGAGAATTCTTTACTGTAAATGGATCACTTTAGGATTTTTATTTTTCACCAAGGACACAGCCATTAGGAAGTTTCTATAGGGTTCTGGGTCACAAGTGTGGCTGAAGAACCATCGCCCCCTGAAGAACTTCACGGACTGCTATAGAACTCAGGGGAGTTTCATCTCCTGGAATCTGTCTCAAGATTGTGCACCCGACTCAGCCTTGGACATACCGTTCTTACAAAAGCAATGGAAAGTCACATCAAAGCTCACCTGAGTAGCAAAGGTTTTCAGTACATTAAGGAAAATTCCAGGAAGAAAGTAGTTTATATGTGTAGCTCTTTTACATTGCGCATATAATTCCCTAGAAAAGCATCGACCCTTCTCGATAACATTAACCCAAATTAATATCATCGCAAGCTCAATGTGCTTCATGACTTCTATTTCCAACCATGCTGAACAGAGTCCCAAGACTTGTTTCCCACATTCTCATAATATAACCCAGGGATTTGGGCTTCTGGAAGCACAACTTACCTGSTTTTTTGCAGGTGGAGGATGATTTCTTCACCATTTAAGATAATCTGATACTGAACTTCAGGTGCATATATTTCCTAAAAATATTTAATGGTATAAAAGTGTCATACAATCTGTATTTCTGAGTATACTTAAAAATAATAATATAAAWGATGTATGCAGTCTATGTCAGGAGAACAATCATAAATTCATAGAGGTTAAATGCAGTTCTGTTATGCCTTTAAAATACCTAAAATAAAGCTTAACTTGCACAATAAGACAGACTTCCTAAAAGTTTAGTTAGGTGGCAATCAAACTTACCAATTAACCTAGCCCTAATATGTGAAATGGGGTCTTTTTGTTTGCACTAATAAGTTATCCATGGAYCTATACACATAGTATGCTTTCCTGTGTGCCATAATAGATCACCAATAAGATAATAAGAAGGCATGCATTTTTACCTTAAAATCAATCCAAACATACTAAAGCTAACCAAAATTAAATCAGATGAAAATTACAAACTGAGGGGAATATTTTCAACAATGTATTAGTCAAAGAGTCAATAACCTTAATAAACAAAACGCTATCATTGCAAACTATAGAGATAACATTGAATCCTCCAATCTAAGCACAATGTCTGAGAAAAAGGTGACCACTGGGGAAAGGGGAGGTGGTGAGGGGCACACACAGGTTGGAGAGACTGAGAAGTGACATCTCTTTAGAAATGGCTGCCCTTCCAAGGATCTTTTCCTTTTCCCCCACAAATTTGAAGAACTGTCCAGGAATCTTTATCCTTTTAACTCCTGCTGCTTAACTATAAAAGCATGTGTACAAGTCAGACGCTCTGTCCTGGACAAGGGCAGCTAGCTGCACTTCAAGCTGGACTTGAAGCCAGAAGTGTTAGAGTTAACTGTGGTGAAGGGGCTCTTTCTTGGTGTCCTGGGTGGCTGGAATCTTCCAGTCCATCCTAAGGCTTACCTCTTTGCCTTGCCTCTTAGTGTGGTTGTTTTCCATCCYTCCTTCGTGTGAAATGTGCAGTAGTTTAGGATAAACTACCTCAGAGAGCTTTATTCCAGGAGTTTGCATTATGACCATGGCTGGAGAAAGAGAGAGAACATTGATATAAAAACTGAAAGCTTTTTATTTTGTTTCCTTTGGATTGGGTTGGTTGGTTTGTTGAAAGGGCATGAAAGACCAGAGTGCCAACACGAGCAACAGGTTGATTCTCCTACTTTAGCTTTGATGATAAAGCCTCCCCTACTCCCCTCTAAGAAAACCTGAACAGGATGAGAATTTCTTGGATGATGTCTGTATGTGYGAGCTCTGGACCACACGACCAGGAACGTCAGTCGGTCTTGAACTGTAAACCTGGAGGGCTGCTGCTCCTTTTGTAATCCAGTCCCTTCTTCCTCCACACTCCCCTTCAAAACTGTGATATCTTTTCTCCCAAAGCTCTCAGGGACTTCTGCTTTTCCGTTTCTATGTCCCTTTCTCTCAGGGCAGTACAACAACCGAGTACTCACTGCAAAAATCACATGTTTCTTTGGCAGGTAAAACCTGATTCTTAGAAGGGACTCTAGGAGCAGTGATTTTACTCCCTGTGTGACCAACTCTGATGCTCTTTGCCTCATTAGCGTTTCCTCTCAAGACTGCAGATTCTGCAGGAAATAAGGTTCTTGTAGACCTCTATTGGAGGAATTTGAAAGCAGCAAATTCTATTTTTCAGAATGTTTCTTATGAAAATATTCATAAGTAGCAACATTGTTTATAAACAAAGTTTCCTTCTTGATGGACTTCAATTTACATCACATAGTTTCCCATTGTTTACAAATAGTAGGAAAAAAAATTCAAATGGAACCAAAAGAGGCTGTCTTGTATTCCAATTAAATGACCTCACTTTGCCTTCTTACCACTTCTTATCTAAGAGATTTGTAGAAAACTTGAGATGAAATGCATAAAATTGTTTAGTACCACGCCAGGAAAGTGGCAGTCTACCTTTTCTGTTCAATTATTCATATAAAATCAGTCTTATTTTCTAATGCTCACATTTTACACATTAGTGTCTGGGTTCAAAGCCTGTTTCTCAACCCCTGTGACAACAGGTGTGACTTAGGGACACCAAGCAATTCTACACCTGGCTGATGTGGAGACCCTGTAGGAAACAGTAAAGGAAGAATTCCCTCCTAGACAGCTCCCAAATTTCTGCCATGATGCTTTCCTGAGAATAATTCACTGTGTGCTAAAAGGAGAAAATAAAATAAGGGCTGAGTTAGAGCTCAGTGGTGGTAAAATGATGCTTTTAGGAGGCCCTGGGTTCAATCACCAGCAAAGCAATATTTTAAAAAAAAGGATGACAAAATAAGCAGAATTATTCAATGAGAGATACAATTTCAGAACATTCTTGCTAAGCTATTATACAAACCATAAATTCAGAGTCAACGATGAACACTGAGTTTCTAGCACTTCAATGATCTGTATGCATGTATAGTATAATTATTAGTTTAATAATTATTCTACTTTATCTTTTCTTTGTGTTTAGGACTGAACAATGTGAGAAACACATCAGGAAGATTAGCTATGAGCCAGCCCTGAGCTGGCAACCTTGGCACAGAACCGTTAAGCAAGTGATAATTTTGTGGTCAGCTTAGACAAGTCCTCAGTAGGTCCTTTACCTCTCCCAGGATGGGGTTTGTCTCAAATGTGTTTATATACGGAAACATGCAGGCTCACAGCACTTGACTTTTAACGTGATGATTGAGTAACCTTTAGTGCGACCATGAGGACCATTAGGGAGTTCCATTTATATATGGCATAGTAAGGGTATCTATGGTGGCCATCAAGTTGACTTCTCAATAATTAACCTCAAAGAGAGAAGGAGTTTTATCTCTGAAACTGGTCCTTTTGACTCTGTTCATTCTATTTTTTCAGAATGTTTCTTATGAAAATCTCCCAAAATGCAGATTTTTTAAAAACAGTCTTGATTCATGAAGATATCAGTAAAATTTCTTTACTAGTAAAAAAAATATAAACAGAGAAAGAAGTAAACTTGCTTCCTCCATTTTTAGGAAATATTGTGCAAACATGGATTTCATTTATCAAAATATATAATCATTTTTAAAAAGTTTGACAAGATTTAGAGTACATGTTTAACACAGTCATTTAAAAATATCTCCACTCAAAAAGTTATTTTTAAATACATAAATAGATGCACTTTTCCTTGTAAAGAAAGAGGTAGGCAATAATATACTAAAATGAATACAGTATTGATCTTTGGATCATAAATCTTTTTAACAAGGGTGCTTTAAATACTCATCAAATAATTCTGGTTTTATGTAAGATGCCAATATAATGTGCTTACCTTGTGTTTGAACCGTGAGCCACAGTACAGAAAGCAGCAGCCGAGACATGATGGCTACTACAAGTAGCTGAGGACAAGATGTGGTCTCCTCCGATGTTGGTTTTATCTCCCTCTACTTCTCATCAGAATCTGTGAAAGAAAATAAGACACAAAACTTTTCTTCTGAGAGTGGGGAATGTTTCCTCATGGTGTTGGGAAATTGCCAAGAAATTGCGGTAGTCAGATCTTGAGAATGTTTCTCATTTGTGAGAGGTATTTATGTCTGGGGACTGTTGCTCATGAAGCACACACATCTGAGTAGCAGCTAGCCTCGGGTCCTCCTGGAGTGATGGAAATATGCCAACTGACATAGGGGCACCCAAGAGAACACTTGCACAGTTATTTACACATCTACAAATATAGAATATGTATCAATATTCTGTACATATTTCAAGAGACTGGCACAAAGAACTGAGAAGCTAAAATATAATCACCTAGCAGTCTTGCAGCCAGGATAGTGTAATCTCTCTGATTCTCATTCTTCTTAATACAAAAAAGAAAAACTGGTAATACCACTACTCTAAGTTTCTTACAAAAGTCCCCATGTGATTATATAYACACACACACATGTGCAGCACATGGAACTATAAAGAAATGTGCAAAAATAAATTATCTTGGAAAGGTCAGCATCAATCAAGCTCTATAGTGCATATGAAGTATGGCTCCAGTGTATTGTGAGTTCTCACTCAGAAAAATGATATTTGCATAGTCATAAATATTCAAAATATATTGAGGGGGAAATGCTGATTGTTGTTCCAACAACAATAAATTACTTCTGTTGCCATTTTGACAATTTATTGTCATCTCTTTTTTTAATGCAATAATTAAAAGAAGAAATGAGGGAAAATTAATCTTGATTATACAAAGGGTTTTAGCAACCTGTTATTTTTGGCATAGTACTTTACCATAAGAATTTTCCTCATACTAAATATTGATATTTTAATACAATATTTATTGCATTGTATGCATCTGTTATGTGTGGTTGAGTGTATGTCTTTGATTTCTGGGATAAACTCCTATAGGTGATGTTATTTGACTTTGTTGGAACATATTGACCCAGAGTTTTTCAGARAGTTAATCCCAAGTTAAATTTTCATTTAAAAGGTTGTCCCAGTCTGAAAACTTATACTCATTACCTGCTGAACTTACTCTTTACTGGTACGTTTGGAAGTTTCTGAGCATCTGATTGTAAGTTTTGATGTCACCTTTCTCTTTATTGTGCTTGAGTTCTACCTTCCTTTGAATTAATAGCTTTTTCCTGTCTATTTTAAAAATATTTTCCTGATCTAAAAGATAAGCATTCTACTTTATTCATTACCAGTTATCATTGCAATTTTAATAAAGTATAATACTAATTAATATATTTAGCATCAAATACTAAAAAAGAAAACCTACAATTGATCAGCACTTACAAGCAGCCCATCCTTTCCTTTTTATAGATTTACCATGACTTTCACCCCCAACACGAATCATCATTTTTTGTGTGTGTATGTATTTTATACAGATGATGGTTTTTGGAATTATTCACCTATTTACCAACTTCTTTGTTCAAAGGTCCTTGTAGGACCCCTTTTKTAAAACAAATAATTTTCTTCTTTGTAAAACATATTCTTCAATAAATCCCTTTTGTTAATTAATAAGTTTAGTAAATTAAAGTTTTCTTGCAATAGGTACTTTTATGGTTTTTAACAATTTTTCCGAGAGTGTATTCCTTCATCCTATTCTTTAATGATAGCATAGTTGGAAGTATAGTTTTAGGATAACAATTAATGTCTCTCTGAACTTTCGAGATATTATTTAACTCATGTTTGATAACTATCACTGTGGATAATACTGCTTTCAGGGTATCTAATTGGTATTAACTTTTGTTTATCAATGATACAACTAGGATTATTTGCTAGGTTAGTTGCATATTTATTGGGATCATACTTTATTTAAGTTTACATGAAGTTACTACTACATTTCTGTGTATTACAAAATGTTAGAATCCCTGCCATTGATATTTTCCTGCAATAAATTTAATAATGAAGACATCTACAAAGAGACATAGCCTACACAAGTGGGAAGTCCTGTGTTTGAGGTCTGGGCATGGTGTTCAGGTAGACATCACTCGGTGGGTAGAAAGAGTGAAACAATATTAGTTAGAGAAGGAGAAGAAGAGTTGAGTATAAAAGACAAGACACTGGTGTGTAGAAAAGTATAAAGTCTGTTAACTCCGTATGTTTCCCATGATTGCGACATAACAAAAAAGGTAATAGGTATATGGCATAACGTTTATGGTATATGCAGGGGCCAAGTTACAAGAGGAAAATGCCATTGTCCTTAAAAGGGAAGATGGATACTTGAGAAATACTTAGCTCATAAAACTGTCAGACTTGTTGGTTGATTGGATATAGTTAAGTGAGAGAGACAGAGGAATTTGGAATGAGTTCTAGGATTCTGCTTGAATTTTACAGAAGACATCTTCCAATTTGGTGAGTTGATAGGAGTTGCAGTTTGTCAACTCTTTTAAAGACCAAAGAAAAATGTCCCTGTGTACTCTTGAGGAACACAGCAGTTTGAAGATAATAAATTTTTTAAAATATTCAGTGAACATATACACCATGAAAGAAGTTTAAAAAATACTCTATGAGATTTAGATGTTGTTTATTAGATGTCTATATATCATTCAATAAATTAAAACAGTAGAAATAACAGTGAAGAAATTGTTTACTCAGTGTGTCTGAAGGAAATGAGAAATGTCACATATACAAACCCTTATTGATTACAATATTCAAGGATTGACTAAACAAAGGACTTAATTTGTGACCATAAAACTAAGAAATCATGACCAGCATCCTGATTACAGAGAATTTTGTCCCCATAAAGCTTAAAACTTAACATTTTGGAATGTTTTGTAATAAAGTATTTTTGAAATAAAGTATTTGTGGAAGATGTTTAAATATGGACTACATAGAAAATAAATTAAAGCATTCACAAAAGTTACAACTATCCCTTGTGCATTTAAAGACTCTTGCACACATTATTTGTAATTAAGCATCATAACAATAGGTATAAATAGTTTTGAATATAATTCTTACATTGTAGATGACTCAGAGAAGTTAAGTGATTGACTTTAAGTTACCTAGAAGKTCTTTAATGCACATTTCCTAAGTCCCTGGGTGGGAAAAGAGGTGCTTGGTATCAGAACAACGGAATCTCAAGTATTTTATAGTGAATGATCTTCATGATGGCTTCAATTGCCTTGAGAATACCTAGTCCAAGAGCATGAGTGGGCAGGGGTCTGAGGGTTGGGTGAGTGGTTTGAGATGRGAAGTAGTGCTGTAGCCTTGCTCTAAATATTCTCCTTTGACCAGGAATCTCTTGCTTGTWTTTAACCCACTAGAGACAGAGGTCATGCCCCCGATTTGGTTGGTATATCAGCATATTGGAATTACCTAATCAATTTTCTAGCCTGGGCTTGTCCAGACCCTCTGGGAATCCCTGGCAGATTCCCTGTATCCATCAGTTACTCAGCCACATCTTGGTTATTGTGATAGTTCTGCAGGAAACATGGATCTGGAGGTAGATTTGAGCGTGTGTGTGTGTGTGTGTGTGTGTGTGTGTGTGTGTGTGTGGTGGCCATTTATATTTCTTCCTTTGTGAAGTGCCTATTCAAATCACTTGTCCATTTTTAAATTGGATTACTTTCTTTTTTCTATGAAAGTCTTTTCAGTTCCCGATACAGTCTAGATACTAATCCTTTCTCAAATGAATATTTGGTAAACATCTCCTCCCGCCTTCTGCAGGTTGTCAATTCACTCTGATGATTTTTCCCTTTGCTGTACAGAAGGCTTTAGTGAAACATGATCCTATTTGTCTATTTTTGCCTTCATTCCTATTTTTACAGTCACGTCCAAAAAATCATTGTCTGTACCAACGTCTTAAAGTGTTTTTCCTAYGTCTTCTTCTACTAGTGTGAAGATTTTAAATTTTTCATTTGTATCTTTGTTGCACAGGGTGACTGGTAGGGGTCAAGATTCAATCTTCYACCTGTGGATACATCATTTTCCCAGCACCATTTATCGAAGAGGTGCTCCTTATCCAATGTATGCTTTGGTGCCTTTCTCCAGAATCAGTTGGCTGTAGATGTTTGGTTTATTTCCTGTTCCACTGGTTTATGTACCTGTTTTGACACCAGTGTCTTGCTTTGATTACTGTAGCTCTGTAATATGCCTTGAAATTAGGTATTTTGATGCCTCCTACTTTGTTTTGTTCAAGATTGCTTTGGCCATTTTGGGTCTTTAGTGTTTCCATATTTATTTTAGTACTTTTTTCTACTTCTGTAAAGAATGTCATTGGTGTTAGGTGCAGGACAGGCTGAATTGAGTTGTCTGCAGGGCATGCCAAACAAGGTTAGCTGCAGGGTGACCTGGCCACTCAAGCCCTCTGTCTGATCCTTTATCACCTGTTTGCGTCAAGTCTGAACACTTAACCCCACTCAAGGCTGAACACTCGAACCCCACTGGTCTGGTGCAACAGAAACCCACATCTGACCCCTGCCCCATCTGCTTGAAGGCAGAAGATGACACCCTTAGCAACTACTGTGTGATCCAATCATTGCCAGCCAACAAGGAAGGCAGCTTGCAGACCCAGAGACCCCATTAGATTTGGGCTATAAAACTCCCTCCTGCCGGGCCCCTCTCTCTTGCTCCTGCTCTGTCTCCCTCTCCTGCTTTTGTTCTCCCTTGCTCTCTCTTTCTTCTCTCTCTCTCTCTCTCTCTCTCTCTCTCTCTTTTCTCCCCTTTGCACTGCTGCAATAAAGATCTCTTGGTTGCTCTGAGTGTTGTGGTCACTTTCCTTTCATTGGTGCCAAAACCCCCGAAACCCGGGAAGAGGGTTAAAACCCACTTTTGGGTCCCTCCTCCATTGGAAGTGCCACTCACCGGACAGCCTGAACCCATTTTCTTGACCACCAGAACTTCGTTTGGTGAGTTTCCCCTTCCTGGAGTCCTAAACCAATGGTGGTGTCGGGAGGATTTGGCCGTTGATTGTCCAGCAAACCTCTTTGCCCACCTTTAGGGAGGAAAGCACCCCACCGCAGCCTTCAAGGCCTCCGTGGCCCTCAGCGACTCCTTCCTCGGGCAGAATAGACTCCTGGGTTCAAAACTCTTCCCTTCCCTTCCCAGCTGGTAGTTTCCCAGCATAGGCTTGGTAGGTCTCCCTCAGAGGACTGTGTAACCTCCGGGGACACATAACAGAGAACTGAACATCACCCTACCCAGACCTTCACGGTCTSGGTGGCTCATAAAGTCCTAGTCCTCGCACGTTCAAGACTCGGCCGCTAGAGAGACGCTTCCCCTCCCCTTCCTCTCTCTTCCCCTGCCTCTCTCTCTCCCCTCTTTCCAGCCCTGAGAGTTTCCAGCCTCTCCAGGAGAGGCCTCAATCAAGGTCTCCCATGGCTCCGCACCGTCCAGGATGGGAGCCTCGGCTGTCAGGATTTGGTGACGACCAATCTGCAGCTGCAACCTGCCACTAGGCACTCCTGACTTTTGGCTCTAGTGGGGATGCCCCTTTTGCCTATTAATCAGTTTCCTCCTTCTCTTTTACACTATCTTTGTGTCTCCTTCCCTCTCCCTTATACTGCGTTTGCGACATGGGTAATTCGTCCTCTCTGCTGGTCGGCTCTCCCCTACAATGTCTCTTGGATAACCTCAAAATCTCCTTGACACCAGACATCAAACCCCCAAAACTGATCAAATACAGCATCCAGGTGCTGAGGGCCATTGCCAAGTAGGAATGACGC